AAATAATTGTATTTCTACGCATAACGTTGGAACTAATTTCCCGATCCCCTACATTACCTCCCTGACACCCCCAGATTACCCAAAAATGGGTAATTCCCTCCCTAATGAGTATCCTTGATTTGGACAATCAAAACGTTCTGAACAATGAGAATATACTAATAACAGTGATTGTGATTAATAATGATATTGCCAGCAATAATGATGATAATAATAAACCTTTAAAGTGTCTCGAAGGGTTGCTCATAATGAAGAGATGTTAATGAGTGATGAAAAAGAGAGGCGCGGATGGAATGAAACAACAAAAAGTGAGGCATTGTTAGCACTTCCGATCACCAGATGTCCACCACGATTCGATGCGATAACTCAAGGTTTATTCATCAGCTCGAAACCTCGAAGTCTTTCTTCATGCTATCATCCTCTTCTGTTTCACCAGAATCCCTTNCTTCTATCAAAGCCATTATCTTCTATCTCCTTTCTGATTTCTCGCCCAGCACACCTTCGCATCTTCTCAGTGTTGTTCTCAAAGATGTTTGACATTTTCGCAGGTATCATTTCACTGTTTTTATGAATGATGTTAACTGGCCGAGGTTCGGTCGGTAAAATCCGATGGATTTAGGCAGGATACCCGAGATTCTATTGCAACTGAAGAATTTTGAAATTCGATCGGAATGTCGAATTTCGGAACGTGAAAATTTGCAAGTTATTGGCTGATCTGGGAAGGGAAAGAAGATCCAAGGATAGGGATCGTATTTGAAAGAGGGAATGGGCATCTGAAAGATAGTAATTAGAAAAGAGAACTTGAGGCTTGGCAAAGAATTCAGAGGTTTGTGATAAAGTTGCAATTATTCGTATGAATAAATATGTGTATTGATTAAGCACACAATGGTCGAACGTATTTGTTTTCGATGGATCGAGTGTATGAGATGTGGATGCATGAAGGACTGCAACAAAAGGCATCCTATAAAATTGACGAACTGTTCGTGAAAGGTCCACGCACAGTGACAGTCGCCTATACGAATCATAGAACTGGCGTGACAGTTCTCATTGAGCACACCAACGTCTACAGATTCAGATGGAATAGAAAACTCAAATTATTCAAAGTATTGTGACTTTTTCAAATCAACAGAATTATTACTAATAATTGTTTAAT